ACCCCACATGATAGAATAAAGTCTTGATGTTGTTAATACTGTTGTAGTACCTCATAATGAATAGAAGGACAACCACTGTTCTTTCTTGCAAAGCCTTGAATCTTTAATTTATGCAAGATTTATAAGATTGGGAAGATTAAAGCTTCGTTTGATAACGCTTTCTTACTGCTTCTTAAAACAGCTTTTTAAATAAAAAATTTGGATTTTCGTACTAAAACTTGTTTTAAGAAATAGTAAGAAAGCCGTCCCAAACAAAGTCTAAGGCAAAAATACAATGGTCAAAATCTGTCCCAGACGAAGCCTAAATCCAGTATTTACAATTTTATTCTTTTTTTTATTATTATTTTAGAAATTTGAGAACATATCTCAATAAATTGAAAAAAAAAAAAGTGCAGTTGCAGAATTTCAGAAGAATGCTGTTATTGATTTGTAAGTTTTGGTACTAAATCTTGCCATATATGTATAATGATATAAGCATGTGTGGACAACAACACCAGCTTGATTTGTTTATTCCAGCTTAAAACTTCCTCTTGGCTGCTTATGCTTTTCGTCTTCATTTCATGATTCCATATTTTATTGAGAATCTAAGGAAAAAGAGTATTGAAAGATCTAAGTGGTGAAACTATTTCTTGGAGTTTAAAAAGTTCTCAGGCTTTCAAGCTCTTCAAGTTCAATTGAAAGCTTATATTCTTAGGCTTCATTTGGTACGTTTTTCTTATGTTTTTTAAAACAAATTTTTAGTACAAATTTTTTAATTTTTATACTAAAAAACTGTTTAAAAAAACAATAAGAAAGTTGTCACAAACAAAATCTTAATAATTCAAATTGAATAACATTTATAAAAAAAAACGATACGTAACGAGAGCTTTTGCATTCATGAAAAAAAATATTTTAACTATAGGCCTATTGGTAATTCTCTAGTAATTTATAGTAATTTAAGAAAAAAAATTAATTTGTTTGAGGAATCAACATAATATTTATAAGTAGAGTTTAAGGATCTAATTTGGGACATTTTTCTTATTGCTTTTTAAAACAATATTTTAGTTCAATTTTTTTAATTTTTATACTAAAAAGTTATTTTAAGAAATAATAAGAAAGTTATCCCAAACAAAACCTTAATAATTAAGTTATCCAAAACAAAACCTTAATAATTCAAACTGAATAACATTTATAAAAAAAAATGATACGCAATGAGAGCTTGCATTCATGAAAAAAAAATATTTTAAATATAGGCCAATTGGTAATTCTCTAGTAATTTAAGAAAAAAAATTAATTTGTTTGTGGAATATATTTTAAATCTAGTTTGACCTTAATAATTTTATTTAAAAAAATAAATATATAAAATCTTCATTATTGAATTCCTATTGAGTAATTGATAAATAGTCAATTATGGAAGCGAACTGGATAATTATTTTAAGCAAAAAAAATTATATTTATGAAGGAATTTTCTAAAATGAGAAAGAATTTATATAGAAACGGTAAAAAAAAAGTGAAATAGAGAAAAACTCGTAAGATTATTTAAAAAACCAAAAAAATGCTTTGTTTGAATGTTAAGCCAGCCCAAGAGCTTAAACGGGTTGCTCGACCCACCGGCCCGTTATCCATCCACCGACAAGAGCTGGAGGTAATCGCTGCTCTGTTAAACCAGCCTCACGCTTTCCCCTCCAATTCAGGAGGATTCGAACCCAAGCTTTCGCCCAGACAAGAAACATCACTGCCCATCTTGGATCGGGCGGGCCAGTACAACGGACCAAATGCGACCCAGCCTATGGAGCAGGTACAATCATTCAAAGCACTTAATGCCTCCACTCGGATGACAAGCTCGCGCAACTGAGCTCGGCGAAAGAGCGGCCTTCGTTAAGATTTATATAGTATAATATTTAAAGTTTCTACGCGGTGTGGGATTAATTGAATGATTTACGTTCAGGCCTAAGTAGGCGCTTATAATGATTACGCATCCATCATGTTTTTTTGCGATATTTTACTTTGGCAATTCATCAGTTAAGTCCTTTTTTTAACCGTTTTTTTATAGCTTTTAAAATAATTTTACTTTATTTTATAAACGTTTAAAATGTACATTTTTTTCTTTTTTTCTTTCTTGTTCCAACTCCGGCAAGATAAACACATTTTTTTCATCTCCCATGAGTGCAGCAGAGGGCTGTGGGAGGTGTTTGTAATTTTTTTTTTTTTAATTAGAGTTTCATATCAATTATTTGCCAAAAAATTTCAACTAGATATTTCACATACTTCCACCACTCCATATAAATTGTTATGATTTTTCACAAATAACAATAAATAAAGTCCTTCAAAAAATAAGCAACTTTAGATTGACAAAATAAAATTGTTTTTATTTACTATGATGTCAGTACGAAGACTCTTAACGCATGTTTGAGATGATTATAATATTTTATAAAGTTGATTATAAAGTTATTATAGAAAACAACTTTGTGATTATTATTGCAGAAAATAACTTTACAGCATAAATTTTTTGAAAAATAATGAAAAAGCAGTTGCCAATAAAATTATAGTTGTTATCTAAAAAGAACAATATTTAGAAATCACCTCAAAGAGGGCCTTGATCCTAATGAAAAAATAGTTGTCAAATAAACTGCATCACTGACATACTCTCTTAAATTAACTTCGGAAAAAAGCTCTGTAGTTGTCTCCTAACATATGGAGATACAAAACAAGTCTTGAATATCTCCGTAAACTCCTCCAAAGTAATTAAGATACTTGCACGACCCTGAAATTTTTCCATATACTGGCCAAGCCAAGAGCACTCTTCCTCACCATCTAACATAATGCATCTAATACATCTCTTCTCTCATAAGGACAATGCATCCCATCCACTCTTCTTTATCCTCATCAGCCAATTCTCCGTCGCTCTATAATCAATAACACTTGAAAGTCTACAAGGCTGTAAACTCAGAAATTTTTACAAATATCGATACTTGTCATCAAACCGCGAACACGAAACCCATATATGAGCCTCACTTGTCAGCTATGTTTTAAGATCTGCAATATGAGAAACTATCTCAAAACTAATCACATAAGTTATACCCTGAATCTAAGATGCCCGACTAGAGCTTTGACCATTGGTCATATCAGAATATTACTGAGATGAATCAACCATATTGAGAACAGCTATATGCAACACATGCATTTTAAAAACAAACACAAAAAACCACCCAAAATTAGGGGTGTCAATTCGGGTCGACGGGTCGGGTTTGGGTCGAATCCGACTTGACCCGGACTTAAACGGGTCAGCCCAAACCCGACCCGTTTAAATAAACGTATCAAAAAATTAAACCTAAATTAGACCCGCACGGGTTGCAGGGTTGACCCAACCCAACCCACGGACCCGTTTTATTCAAAAAATGGGCGACGTCATGCTAGGCGGCATTGCCAGAACGGCGGGAGTGGAGTCGACGATGCGACGTGTACCTGCTAACTGCAGACTGCGGAGGTCGCATTAAAAACGGACGGTGAGACTGGTGGAGGCCAGAGTGTCGCTGACGAATGTGATGCAGCGATGGCATCTGGCGGAGTGGTGCGGACCGACAGACGTCGCGGACTCGCAGAGGAGCAAATGCGACTGGCCGGAGCCCTAGCCTGGCGATGCTGCAGACGTGACTCAACGATGGATATAATGACATATGTGATGGTTGGACCGTGATGGACAAACGCGACATACGCGGGAATGACAGACGTGGTAAATTCAAGTTGTCAAAATATGAATGGGTCAATTCGGGTTGATCCGCGGGTTTTCGGGTCAACTCGAACCCGACCCGTTTTTTAAACAGGTCAGAAATCTAAACCTGGACCTGACCGGTTTCACAAACGGGTTGACCCAAACCCGAATTTTTTTGGGCCAGGTCCGAGTCTGATTTCGAGTCATGCCAAAAATTGACACACCTACCCAAAATTATCTCACTATGATATATATTAAATCATATAACTCTATTACGATTTGCTTTTTCAACCGGCGCTTTGATGCTAAAAAGCTTATCATAACCTAACCCGATACCCGATACCACACAAGTTATACAATGCTCGAACTTGTCAAGAACCAAAAAACTAATCCCAAAAACCAATTGGGAAGTACTGAAAAATTAAAATTTCAATTTTATATACCTCATAGCCACTATTGAATATAAAATAAAGCAAAAATACTTTATTTAAACAATTTTAGGATTCAAAATAAACACTACTTCATATCTCAAAAATACTTAGTTGAACTATGTTTAGATGTCAAAATAAAACACTATCCCTTCGACCATCATCATCTTACTATGATCCTTCCAAGCTCCATCGCCCACCTACTATGGTCCCTACGACCCCAATCACTCGACTACAGTCCATCAAACCTCCATCTCGCGATGACTACGGTTCCTCTGACCATTATTGCCCAACTACGGGCCTTTTGATCTACATAACTTCTCGACTATGATCCTCCAATCTCTGTTGCATAAACACGGTCCTACCAACCAAATGAATATGCCATACTATATTAATAACAACTCTCATATCATTGGATTTTTCCAACCTAACCATGTAAAATGCTCTTATGATCTATATTTATTATATTAATCCAATGCCTTTCTAAGGAAGGACATCAATCATAATTGACAACAAATACTAGTGAATTTATTCAAATTTGGCAGGACCTTATGGTTTTTCTTCTTTTAAGGTGTTTCAACATAAAAACCGTGATGTCTCTTATGAATATTATGTCTCCTTCTTTTATTTATTTGTGTGATATATTTTTGTGTACAGTGTTAAGACAGTAAATTTTATCTCTCTACCCCTACGAATATTCCTATGCACAAAAATATATATAATATATATCCTAAAAATTTTATGTATGTCAATATAAATCTCAAATGAGAATCATGATTTATAAGAATTTGTGGCTTTTCCCAAAAAAAAAAATTTGTGGCTCAATAATTAAAAAAAAAAAATAAAAAACTTATAAACTGCTCTGTGATCATTAAAAAAAAAGCCACGTCGGGATGTTTGAACTTTGAACGGAAATTTTGAAGGGGTTACTCGCTCCCATTTCCCAACGAACCTCGGATGAGGCAAAGCTTCATTTTTACATAACTGATTCCACGGGTTAGGGTTAGGGTTAGGGTTAGGTTTAGGGCTTCGGCGTTCTTCTAACCCTTTTCTCAGTATTTTCCGAGTTGGAGAGCTCACGCGTAGGAAAAATTCGTATTGCGAAGATAGTGGAAAGCAATCTTTCTGATCTATCGTCTAGGGCTTTACCATTTGTTTTCCTGGAGGTCTGATCTCTCTATCTCCTATCGCCTTACAATTGTAAGTCAGAAGCTTATATTTCGATTATCTTGGATATGTTTATCAAATGCGAAATTTCAGTTCCTTGCTTTTCCGTCAATGCACTCAACTAAGGTCGTTTCTTGCTGTTATTTGAGAAGAAAAGAATCCGATTTTCTTTAGTAGCTCCTTTATATATATAGTTATAGATTTCGTTTCCAGACAATGAGCTAAAGTTTCATTTCGATTTCGTGCTTTCATTCTGTGCTGTTGGTTTTAGTTTCTCCTTTGTGACCATAGGAGCTCGTTGCCCACGCAATAATCGAAGCGGTATAATATTGGTTGGCGATTGTAATTTTTTAAGCAGAAGGAGCATTCATTTGTTGGCGTAAGATGCCATCTTCCTACCTGCCAAGCTATAAGGTTTTGCAGCCTTCTGCAAATTTAGTGCGTGTTCAGATGACCGCCTAATCTGTCTAGCAGACTAGCAGTACCTTAGTCTGTAATAACAAGCGACTTTTATCTGTCTGATAATATCCATGTCCAGATTGGATCACCTACACTTGGAAGATTTAGCCACATTTGTTCAATTTCTTTGGTTATTTGTTATTCCCAATTTTATTTGTATACGAGTATCAGTCATTTACAGCAGTGGACAAAGGGTTCACCAAATATTAAGTTCCTGAGGAGTATGGTATCTGCTCTTAGTTCTTTATACTGCAAGTTTGAATTGGGCTTGAGGGAGCTGAACAGTTCAAGAAGGATGATGATGAAATGCTGGACTAAACCATCTGATTTTCATCAAGGTGCCCGTTTGAGGCTAAACACAAAGTATGAGCCTTCTTCCGGAACTTATAGATTTAGTGGCAAGAGCCATGAAAATGCACGCATGCTTGCATTCAAGCCACGACAATTTGCTTGTGGAGTAGAGGCAATATGCAGCTTGTATCAGAGGAGTGCACAAAAGGATGTTTTATTGATGTCAGCAATCATGGGTTACAATAGAAATCTTCAATATTGTAAACGAGTAAGTGGGTGCTTGAGAAATCGTGAACCTTCGAGTAACAATATGTTTTACAAGTGTTTTTCGACTGATATGCGAGGATCAATCTCAAATGCCAACCACCATATGGAGCCATGTATGAAAAAATTCTCATCAAGCTCCAGACCATGTTCTACTGGAGCAGTTCATAATGTTTCAATTGATGGTGTTTCACAAGAAGAGCTTATTGAAAATGATGGGGCTTCTTCTGATCAGTATGTTTCTAAATCATGTCTCCTGTTTTCTTTTCTTTGAGAATTTGATCACCTGCTCTTCATCGTTGATGGTTGTGTCATTTCTAGAAACTAACTCATATATACATTGGCTATGTCTGTTTTGGCAGGTAAAAAATGGTTGTGAAATGCGTGACATTACATTACAATATATTGAAGTATATAGATTATATAATTTAGATCGTGCTGTCGAAGAATTTGTAGTATACATTTTCATCCAATGACAATGAAGTGAATAGAATTCGTTCTTGATGATGATTTTTGTTAACGTGTACATCAAGGTGCATTTATCTTTGAATTGATTGTTGTTTTTTCTGTATTTCTCTTTGCATTTATTGTATTTGTCATTTTTTAGTCTCACAAAATTGAAGGAGCCATACACCTTCTGTGGTCTTCAATGCTTTGTAACTATTGTGGCTGTATTCACCACTTAATTCCATTGTGCTTATGCTAATTTATTGCTTTTCCCATCATATGTTTAATATAATCTTGAAATATTAGAGGGCCATAGTTATATAGTCATGTGTACTTTATTCAATACTTTGTTAGGTTTGGAGTGGGGTGAGGTGTCATTGTACTATGGTGCAATGGCCAATTGAAATTGACAATGATGATGGGTTTGAGTACCATTGGAGATTAGTCTTAGACACAAGGTGTTGGAATGGAGGATGGTTGGTTTAGTATGAGAGGTTAAGGGGCAATTTTGGGCTGGTGGAGTGATGCAAGTGATGCCAATGGAGTTTATTGAAGGAAAAGATCATGAAATATGAGTTTATTGGGGCGGAAGGTGTCGATACTTCTTTAGCTAGATGGACCCTTGTTTTTGGAGTAAACTAATTTTTGTATTAGGAACCCTTGGTTTTGTTTTTGGAGTTAACTAACTTTTGTATTAGGAACCCTTGGTTTTGTGACGATTTTTAGATGTGGCACAAATAAGACATGAATGGATCAAACTATCCTCCATATCAATGGATCATGTCCTTTTGACTGGGGACTTGTTTTTGGGTGTGTTATTTTTGAAACTGATCATGTAAGTCCTATGTTTATGTTGCTTGATATATAGGCCCTCCTTTAAACTTGGATTAATGGCAGATCTTAGAGAAATTGTTTATAACTTCCCGTATGCCCTTCACTAAAAGAACATGGGAACCTATATGCTGGTATTAAAAAATTACAGAATGAGCTTATGCTCTAAATATATGGACCTAAATGCAATTTACCTAAGTTTTTATATTTTGCACTATCTGGCGGATCAAAAAGCAGTTTTTTATGTTCGAAAGTCCCTAGTTAGATTTCGCATTATATGGCTAACTTCTATATTACCCTTTCTGATATTTTAAAGTCATTTATCATGGCACGCCTTAAGATGTGATCATTGGACATTTTATAAGTTATATGGGGAAGGTGTATCAGGCTAACTTATGGGCAAAAACCTACTCCATCCCTGAACCATAACTACCAAACCATTTGTTTCTTTTGATATCGTAGCATTAGCTGCTGTCCATGTAAAAAGAGCTATCTTTTGATTATACCAGGAAGTTGTCCAGTGATAGAAACCTGAAGCTAGTCTCTGGTTCATGTTATCTACCTCATCCAGCAAAGGAGGAAACAGGCGGAGAGGATGCTCATTTTATTTCTACTGAGCAAGCAATTGGCGTTGCTGATGGAGTTGGTGGTTGGGCAGACCTTGGTGTTGATGCTGGACATTATGCAAGAGAGCTGATGTCTCATTCTGTATCTGCAATTGGGGAAGAGCCCAAAGGCTCAATTGATCCGGCAAGGGTTTTGGAGAAAGCTTACATTAGCACAAAAGCTAGAGGGTCTTCAACTGCATGTATCATTGCCCTTACAAATCAGGTATATATGTTCTTTATTTTGACACATGATATTTCAAATATCTTCTATTGAAATGCGCATGATAATGTGCATGCATGCACTCAAATTTATACACCATTGAGTATATGATTCATAAATTATATATAAATTTATATTGATAAATATTAACATAAAAAAAGACTTCTATATGCAATTTTTAAATATAAGTTCGTTATGCTTTACAGACTAAAAAAACTAATTTATTGTATACTTCTCTGATTCTATAGTTACCCATGATTTTGATGATGCAATTACTTTTATAACTTAGGTCAAATAGTGTTGTGTGTAAGTGCTGAACTTATTTACCATGGAAGATGGAAGATCATGTTTTTCAGGAGATTTGTGAAAGAAAATAATGCATATTATTGCTGGAAAACACGAAGAGTTAAAGTTAAATTTGGAATAGTGACTGATTGACGATATAGGTAGGAATCCAGGGTAATTTCACTGGCTTTAAAACTGAGTGTTCTAAAATTGATTCTTTAACCCGATAGAGGTTGTTTTAAGAATGGGGATTTTTAATCTTAAATCATGTTAGAACTTAAAACAAGTGTTTTCAATTTGAATTTTGATACATTGGTTTTTGACTTGTTCTATTTGATTTTGATATGAAATCATTGTGGTGAAATTTTCATATGTTAGTTGAACATGTATTCTCATATTTGAGCATTTTAATTTATATCAAATTAACCATTTTTTTGTAATTTTTTATGGTGCACAATTGAATGACCCATGTGTATGCTTATTACGTATAATCAGCGTCTGCTTAATGATAGTTACCTTACGATTAATCAAGTATGTGTTTAGGAAGTCTAGAAAAATCGCATCATTGGTTTCATGCAAATAATTGAGATGATGCAAATAATGTGTACTAGTTAAGATTTTTCAAGAGATTTAGAGTGGATTAAATTCAAATTTTATGTTATGTGATCATGATTGGACTGTCACATTTAGGGCGCGTTTGGGATGGCGGCACTGTTGCTTTACTGTATAAAAAGTTATGAAATCGTTAGAACAGCGGCAGAAAAAATTCGCGGCACGTAATTGCTTCCCGTGACCTTTCACTCTCTCCCGCGGTCCGCTGCTTTCGGTAGAAAAATGACGAAAATCCCCTTCAAATATTCGCGACTACCACCGTCATCCTCCTCGAGCTCATCCATCTCGGATAAGCAGTTGCTTAACCTAGCTCTCCCTTGACATGGCCTCACGTGAGATCCTCGCTTCCCCTTGCCGTTTCTCATCTCCAAAAAGCCAGACCTCCCATTCCTTCCCCGATCTCGCGCCCTTAATCCACCAGTTTCCTCCTCTCCTGCCTTCTCGCCGAACAGAGGGGCATCGATACTGGGGAAATTGGGTGTTGAACACCGAATCACCTATTACCGTACCTGTGGATAAGTCTACCCTTGGCCGCATCATGAATGTTATTGGAGAGCAATCTTGTCTGCTAATCTTGTCGAGAGAGGATGAAGTCGACGGCGACATCGATGGAGCTAATCTTGTCTGCTTCGTTGTTGGGAATCTCGAAGCCGAATTCTTCCTCGAGGGCCATAACGACCTCGACGGTGTCTAAGCTGTCCAGTCCAAGGTCAGTTTGAAAATTAGCCTTTGGAGTCACCTTAGAGGGGTCAACCATCTGGAAGTTTTTTACCACGGTGATGACCCGATCGGTGACCTCAGATTTGTCCAGGAACGAGCCCTTGACTTCCTCCGAGAAGTGGCGGCAGAGGAGTTGGGAGAAAGAGAACGTCACCGGCGATCGAAGAGGATATCCTACTTTCACCCTCAGGTGCTTCAGCAGAACGCTCCTCATCGCCGCCATTAGGTTATGCAAAGAGGTTTCTGGTTCCTTAGTTCCTCTATACTCTCCTGCCTTTGTTGATCAAGCAACAGAGCATCAAATCCTTTTTATTGGTATCAAGGTTGTTGATCTTCTTGCACCTTAACAGAACGGTGGTAAGTAATAAAAATATTTATTCATGAGAAATATAAATAGCCATTCATGATATGTAATTACATATTTGTTAATTTTTTAATTAAATCTTAAAAATATATCATAGTTATATTATCATTAGAAAAAAATTTGTTTTGTATGAAGTATAATTTTTTTCCATATTATTTTAAAATATGATAGTACATTATAAAAAAATTATTTTATGGTATTTAATAGTTATAAAATATTTTATAAAAATTGATACAATTTTTATTTAGAATTGTTATTTATTAGCATATAAATTCTTTGAAAATTTTGACATTTACATCATTTTTTTCATCTCAATATATAAGGGTATAAAGGTAATTTATTCGCATATAGCTACAGCACAGCAACTTGACAGTTATACTTCCCAAATAAAATATACTGCTTTTTGTACAACAATTTCTGAAAGCAGCTTTTTGTACAACAACTTTGCAACCTACTTTACCGACAGCTGCAGTCGTCCCAAACGCACCCTTAAGAATAGATTATGTGTTCTTTTATTAATTAAATCAAATTCACTTTGAACAAAGTAAAGACACCTTGAACTAGTGCACAATATTCAAAGGTTTGTTGCGGATGAAATTTAAAGTGAGATGATCAAGGAGTTTTCTCATTCAAGAATAGATTTTGCATTACAAATCATAAATAGATTCAATCGATACTGCTTTAGGACTCGTTGTTCTAGGATTTTTACACACTTTGGAGGTAGGAAATGTTTCGTGAACTAAAGGATTGTTAGTGTGGCCTAGATGTTTCAAATTTCTCGAGCAGGCCTAAATGTCAAATTGAACGCTAGAGGCCTAGTGGTAAATTGTGACATTGATTATTTTTACTGGGAAGTGGGGGGATTTTGATGGTCTTTAGGGTGGGACTACTACCCTCATTGCATGTCTATAATATTATTTTGGTGATTGTCGATCATTTGTCTATGCTTGCCTATGTTATATCCAATAAGGTAAGCAGGATAAGGGAGAAATTACCTAAATTATACATAGAACATATAGTTTGTATATATGGAATCCCTAAGAATATCATGTCGGATCAAGTGAGATAGAGATATTGAGTTGAGAGAAACTTGTGTGGGCTCCGAAAGATCCTCAATTGACTTTGATGATTCGAGCGATTTCATGTTGATTTTCTAGGAGAAAAGTTAGATGGTGTAAATGTTCCATTCTTATAGAGAATTTTATATACTTGTTTTGAGGTTCATTGTTAATGCAAGCCCTATAGTTAATCACCCAAACCTGCGAGCAGGCTGTGAGCTGGAGGCGAGTAGGCTACAGGCGTTGCTTGCTGTTATGGAGAAATCTTCTACCAGTAGTGAATCCAGATCTAAATTTGGTAGTGAAGTGAATCAACATTTAAAGTTATTTCAGACCTTTAAACCGTCAACATTTAGAGGTGCAAGTGATCCAACAATAGCTGAGGACTGGTTGTTAAAGATAGTGAAGATTCTAGATTATATGATCTGTCCTGATAATAGAAAGGTACCATTTGTCACTTTTGTTATGGAAGGAGAGGTAAAAATATGGTGGCAAATGCAACATAGAGAGAAATTTGGACTGGTGCCTATCACCAGCATATGGTGGGATGATTTTTGAGGGTATTTAGAGACTGGTTTCTTCCTCCTTCAGCGAAACTAGCTCTGCAGGATAAATTCTTCATTCTGACTTAGGGTTCCAAGACGGCTATGCAATATGAAGCCGAGTTCACATCTCTGTCCCGCTATGCACCTCACTATGTCAGCACTCATGAGGAAAAATGACATGGGTTTTTGAGAGGCCTTATGGATTAGCTGCGACTATGATTGGTATCTTTTGATATTAGTGAACTTTCAGTCTTAGTGAAGAAAGCCAGAAAAATTGAAAATGTGTTAAATTTCTCTAAGCACAGTTGGGAGCCAACAACCAGGTAAAAGGAAGATGTTTGCAATTGATGATCGATTCAGAAGCAAGAAACCAAAATTTTATAATAAGAAGAAGTAACACAGCCTGAGAAACCTCTGTGTGATCAGTGCGGGAAGAGGCATTCATGCCAGTGTTTAGTGGGTTTTGGAAGATATTTTAGATGCTGCGAATTGGTCATCGCAAGGTTGACTGTCCTCAGTAGAAAAGAAGCAATGCCAGACCATAGGGATATTAGGTGCAGGCACAATAGAGGAGATATCTTGAAGGCAATCAGACAAGGAAAACTCAGTATCTGGGAAAGCCAGTAGTGCAAGGGAAGCCACCAATTCAAATACGAGGAGAAGCATTAGATATTAAAGGTAATCAACCTGTGAAAGCTCGAATGTTTTCCATCACACCTTAGGAATTCAAATAGTCAGAGGAGGTAGTTACATGTATGCTTTTGATTTTCAATAAATTTGGTAGATTTCTTTTTTTTTTTTAAATTCTGGTGCCTCCCATTCATTTATTTCTGAAGTATTTATTCTGATTTATCTATTGAGACCATATGTTTTACACCTACCTTATGTGTTATGATGCCGACAGGGGATAGTTTGCATGCCAGTAGGACGTGTTTTATGAATTTGGATATTCGTGGTCACAAATTTTCAATATAACTGATTTTTGCACCTATTAAAACATTTGATATCATTTAGGAATGGATATGCAAGTTAAACACTTTGCCAAATGAATGTCGAAAGAAAAAAATAAAGTTTAGTTTGCCAAATGAGAAGACTTTCTACTTTTCCTGTGAGAAGAATGCAATATTCTTTCTTGTTAGTGCAGTGAAAATGAGTAAATATCTAAGGAGGGGTGAGTTGGTGTTCGTAGCTAAAATGGATGTCTTAGGTATGGGCTATAATTTGCTAAAATTAATAAGGTAATTTACTATAAATTGTTGTAATTCATAAAACATTGAGGTAATGGTTGCAATCAGTGTTTTTTGTTGTTGAAATCTATGTTATGTGTTGAAATCAGTAAGGGGAGTGATCAAGGCTGCTATAAATTGCTGAAATCAACTGTAATTGTTGAAATCAGTGAGGAAAAGGAAGAGGAAAATC